GAACTGAAAAAAACCCACATGGGAGGCAGGGAAAGTGCAAAATGTGAACTTTCAGTTAACTGTTGGCCAGTGAAAAGGGTGCCTGTCTGCTTCCTCACTCCTCCCAGCGTTTAGAGAGTGGATTGGGAGACAGTCTTCAGACTGCCTGGTACTGTACTGCCTGGACTGTATTTTCCCTGCCTTCCCTGAACCTTTCTTGACCTAAGAAAAAAAGAAACAATATATCCCCCTCCAGTGGTCGAAGGCGGAATAGCAGCTTCCCATTAGTTTCAATGGACGGAAAAGAGCAGATACGGATCCAATGGTTTTCAATGCATTCCTATGGGAAATGCAGATTTGACCTGAGAACTTTTTGACTTGAGAACCGCGTTCCAATACGGATTAAGTTCTCAAGTCAAGACCCCACTGTATTTAGTAGTGATTCTACCTTGGGAGGACGTTTTGCATATACTGCAGTTCAATGCTTTCCAATGGGGGAGAAAAAAATTCACCAAAAATTAACAAAGAGTCAGATCAAAGCCAAATTAAGTTTGCAAGTTTTAGAAGGTGCACTAACGATCCCAAGCATTTAAAACCGTTTTTGAACCTTTTAAGACACACTTAAAATTGCAAAAACGGACATCGCAAAACCATTGGAATGCATTGAAAAGGTTTCAATGCATTCCAATGGGGGAAACATTGTATCGCTTAGCGATGTTTCCTATGGCGATTTTCGCTTAAGAATGGCAATCCGTTCCCATTGGAACGGATTAACCATTTTTCAATGCATTCCTATGGGAAATGGTGTTTCGCTTAGCAATGTTTTCCCATAGCGATGGTTTTTTTTGAACCAATTAACATCGTTAAGCGAGGCACCACTGTAATTTTAGGTCAGCTATATATAACAGTTGGGTTGCTTTTTCAGTTATCTCTATTATTATTTAAAAATATCAAACACAATCTACCAAGTTGTTGTGGGTTTTTCAGGCTCTTTGGCCCTGTTCTGAAGGTTATTCTTCCGGACTGCAACCATGCTAATCTATCTGGGGATGCACCATTGCTACAGACGCAACATGAGGCAAAGTTATATGGAACCTCTACTTACGAACGTTCCTACCTACGAACAATCCAGCTTACGATCAGCTCTGTTCGCAAAATTTTGCTTCTACTTGTGAATGGAGCTTCAACATGACCTTTGGCCAGCGAAGAGGGTGCTTGTCTGTAACATCACTTGTCCAAACAGTTAGGGAGTAGATAGGGAGAGTCTTCAGACTGCCTGGTACTGTTTGGTATTATACAGTACTGCCTGGTACTGTACTGTATGGACTGTATTTTTTGGCTTTTTTAATTTTTAATTTTTGGATTTTTGTAAACAGAGAGACTGCCTGTTCTCGGTGAGTACACTATATTTACTGAACCGTACAGGGTTTTTTGCAGCTGGGGGGGATTGGGCTAGGTGGGAGGGTTATTTTTCTGTGCTCTGATGGGTCTTGCAGTGTAGATTTTAGTTTTAAAATGTGTGTGGTTAAAATTTGGCTCTAAAGTCTTTTTTTTAAATCAGAAAATACAGTATTCTGTGAGGGGCCAGGCAGGCAGGCAGGCTTTAAAATTGAGTTTAGACTCAATTCTCTCCCCCCATGTTCCTCAAATTCTCTGACTTTATCTCTGACCCTAATATGGCAAATGGGAAACCAATTAGCATTGCATACACCTGGGAGGCAGGAAAGTTTTAAGGGACGCATCATACTTCCACACTATTAGAGAGCAGGCCGGGTAGGTGGGGCTTGTCAGCCATGGAAGGCAGCCCATCTAGGAGAAGGAAAACTCCAATTTTAAACCTCCACTGCCTTGTGGCTATATCCACTCATGGAAAAGGCTTCAGGAGTTAACCTAGAGGCAAAATCCGGGGCTGGCGTCCCAAAGACAATTTGTGTCATTCTGCCAACTCCTGCGACATTGCTGGAACCAGTTGTATTGGCTCTTGCCTTTCCATTCGACCATTTCAGCAACGTGGAGAGGGGGGATTTGCTGCTTGGGTAACAGCCTATCCTCCATACTACTTTACCCAGGCTTCATGCTCTGGAAACGACACGTCTTGATACAGAGCATGTTACCATAGTCTCTTGAAACTGAAGGATGCCTATGATGATGATGGTGAGTACCCATTTGTCTCTGATGATGGTCACCCACGATGTGAAATGAGGTGCTAGGCAAGTCAAATAAGTACAAGGGGAGTGAAGAGTAGAGAACTGGGCTGGATAAGAGTCAAAAATTTTGCTTTGGTTTTTTGTCAGGTCTACAAAAGGACTGACGTGGACGTTGGCACTGATTGTTCTGGCAAGGCTGGAAGGATGAGAGAGCTAAGTATCTCAGTCAACAAATGGTTTGTATTGTTGGTAGGGATATGGTAGACGCCATTGATAGTGTTGTGGGTTGTAGTAGGATTGTGTATTATAAGATCTTGCAGTTTTTCTCATTTTTTGCGGTTGTCAAGAATTTCATCAGTTGATATCGAAGAGGCCGACCCCGTCAAGGGGTAAGTCCTCAATACACATGCGGGAATCATCTGAAATATGAGCAGAGTGTAACCAGGCATGCTAAGGGCAACAGCAGTGGCCATGTGTCTTGAGCCAGCTTCTACAATATGTCTAGCCGTGATGCGCTCTTGGCGAGCTAAAGCCATTGCTTCCCGATGAAAGGCCAGGCCCTCTCGGTTTACATTCACCCTGAGCTGATTGGAGTGAAGGGAGCGCCTTGTTCCATAAGAACCTGTGGTACGCTCCCATGGCTGCAAGGTAGTTTGCAGCACCAAGAGTGAAAGAAGCCAGAGAGTATACCCTGCATCAAATAATATCAAGTTTCTTTCCTTCTTTATTGTTCGGTGTTGCATTACAGCGATTTCTAGCTTTATTCTGAGTTGTGTCTACTATAACTGAATTTAGGAGTGGATGTTTGGAAAGGAAGTCTGTATTGTTACCATCAGATTTATACAGGTTCTCGACTCATCTCGTGATCTGTTGGATAGAGGATGGCTTAGCCCATGTTTGCTTAATCAACTTAAGAAGAGATGGAATAAACCACATATAAAGTGTGTGGGGGGGGGTTCTGGTCTTCGTTAATGTCCTCAGAGACTTTGTCAGAATCAGACTGCACTGGTTGTTGAACATCTAAGTCCATTGCCTTAGTAATGCGTAGAACCAGTTGTAAGATGAAAAATCCTCTGACGGAGAAGGTGGATTCCTATCCGCAACATCAGAGTCTGGAGTTGGCAAATTCAGCGGTGACTCAGGGGGTAGAAAGGAATCTGAGGTATCAGTATTAGAGGATCTAGACAATGAGGTTTGAGATGGAGAGGGTTCATCATCTAATGCTGCAGTTTGTACAGGTTTTGACTTGGTAATTTTCCGTTTGGTAAGTGAGGTTTGAAGAGTGGTATGTTGAACCTTTGCACGGAGAGAATGATGGGATAGTGTAATCTGGTGTGGTATCGGGGAAAGGCCAGTATAAGTGGTAGCAGCCTATAACGATGATGTGGCCTCCTGCAGTACCGCAGGCGTTGTAGATGGTTTAGTGTGCTTTGGTATCGGTGGTTGAGGCAGGTCCTTACCAAGACCTGTTTCCTTTTGCTGGATGATGTACGGTGCTTTGGTACCGGTGGGGGGACTGGGGAGTCATCAGAAGTGGAATGCTGATATCGAGGATGGTACTGAAGTGGGTCAGAATCAGACTTGGCAGTCAGAATCAGGCGATTGGCAGCCTAATGTACTTAGCAAACTGGACTAGGCCAGACATTGTAGCAGCAGTAAGTATGTTGAGTAGACATGTGTCTAAGCCCATGGTAAAGCACTGGCAAGGACTGAAAAGAGTATTTAGGTACTTGAAGGGAACGTGAAGATGCCTGGTCATAAAACCTTCAAAAGAATTAAAATTGATGGCTTATGTAGACAGTGATTGGGCAAACGACAAAACTGATAGAAAATCATGTCTGGATTCACAGTAATATTTGCAAATGTGTTGGTAGGGTAGAAATCCAGAAAACAAAGTTCCATTGCTACTTCAACAGCTGAGGCTGAGTTTGCTGCTTTGTCAGAGTTGTGCTCAGAAATAATTTGGTATAGACAAATGATCAAAGATTTAAGGGTTAAAGTATGTAATGCAATAAAAGTGTTTGAGGATAACACAAGTTGCATCCACATGGCAGTGACAGAAAAGATGAAAAACAGAAGTAAACATGTAGACATCAAATACCATAATGTCAGAGAAACAATAAACAAAAAACTGATAGTTACAGTACTGTGAATCAGAGAGAAACATTGCTGACATTATGACAAAACCCTTAAGTGCACAAAGACATATAGAGATAACCAAGGAAATGGGTATGAGTTTTGCTCAGGTGTAAATTAGGGGTGTCAGAGTATAAAATGTCCTAATGAGCTGCCATGATGTTCAGGCATGTCAAAATGCTGAGTCACTGTGACTCAGGAGGGCTGGCTCAAAGATGATGCAACATCTGTGCTGATTGGACACAGCCAGATGCATAAGTGTATATATGTGGACTGTGCAGAGAATATATATTCCTGCTATTCTGATGAATTCCTGGTGTCGCTCTGTATACTTGTAAATATCCTATAAATACACGCCTGGGAGTGGAAGAAGCTTATCGTGTCTGTGTGAGGCATTTTGCCACAAGGACCTTGAAGTTACTCTGCAAAAAAAAAAACTTCTGCGTGTTCATGCACTAACACACTCCACCTCAAGAAAGGCTGGTAACAACTATGCAATGTCACTGCTAGCTCTGGCTTCAACAAGTCTTTCAAAATCTGTGTCACATAGTAAATAATCCTACACCATAAGGAACATTCATTTCCAATTAACACTTCAAAATAAACATTAAATCAAGAATACAACATAAATGTAACACATAATATCACAGTTTATTTACTGAATGGGAAAAATTGTTTTCTAGATGAGATTTATACTTTAGTGTATAACACTGTGTATCTGTACAAACACCGATTTACCTGTGAAGCAACCTCTGATGTTTTCTTGTTTGCTGGATTATCTGTTGTTGTTGGAGTTGGTAGCAACCTGGACATCTGATTCTCTGAGGGGATCAAGAAACAACCTTACCACATTGTTTAACTAAACAATGAATTTTAACTACATGGGTAATTTTAACAGAAATTGGCACCAGATTTTTTTTAGCGTAATGTCAATATTTTACTATAATACAGTAGAACCCCCATATCAGCAAGACCAGTATCCCCTAAGTCACTTATCCAGTCTGAAAATATTAAAAGAAAAATCCTCCAAAATATATTTTAATGATAAAGTTACCAGAACTGGCCATAGGAAGGAGCCAGAGACCATGCTATGTATAGCATTCTTTTTTATTATAGTACTCAGTATAATCTGAGTATTCCAGGAAGTGCCCAGGGGGAGGGCTTGGCACCAATACCCCACAGATATGGGAATCCTACCGTATTTGAACTAGCCACAGCAAAGCAATTCCAAATCATGTATTTGAACAAAGTTCTAGTATGAATTACTCACATTTACATATCCTTGAAATCGGTGACCAAAATTCTATTGCAAAAACCTAGATGCATAAGGGCAATCACACAACTAGTTTTCCTGATTTGCCATCATGTTTCTCTGGTTACATAACTGATTATGCAACCAGGTACAAATGGCCAGTCAGCAGAATAGCTACCACTACTGCATTATTCCGCTTAAGTGCCAATATAAGGCAAAAGGAAATAACTACAGGTAAAAAGCAGTAGATGTGTAAAACTTACCAACTCTAGGTGTTGCTACAATGCTTGTTTCAGAAGGAGCTGGACTGCTGAAGGAGGACAAAGGGATCTTCATCTGTATGGCGCTCCTATTGGTGGGAGGAGTATATACTCCTGAAGTAGTCACAGTAGCTAAAGTAGTCCTTGCAGCTTGTGCAACAGGGTGTGCTGTTGAAACAGCCTGCACTGCTAGAGTTGTCCCTATTGAGCAGCCAACACTGGCTGGAGAGTTCCTTTGAATGCTAGAACTAGGTAGAGAAGTATTATTGTTTGGTTTTGCTGAATTAGCTGGTGACAGAGCCAGTGGGGTTTTGGTCAGGTTACCAACACTAGATTGGCTTTGTACAGGAATAAATTCAACACTGCCAGATTGCTGGTTAGTAACTAAGGTACCAGTATGGCCTTGCAGGAGCTGAGGCTGGGAGGACATTGCAACAGGTACGTGCAATATTACTGGCAAAGACTGCAGTGAAACAGACATTGGCTGTGTGTTGCCACCAGGCACTTGGCCAGGGCCAACAACGGTCGCGGTGTTAGCTGCAGGAATAACGGATGTTGTCAAGGATGCAGAAGTCAATGGTGCAGAGGTGACTGGTGTCTGTGGTTTGGAATGTCCACTGTTTGGTGTCTGAGTAGTAGTAACAGTAGCAGATACTGCAAAAAAATGAAAGAGAATGGTTTCAAAATTCTGTACTAAATGAACTATTCCCATTAAGTAGTATAAAAATGAGACAACACAGCATTAAATGATTATTTTGTCACAATAATGGATATATTTACTGACACAAACATTTATTTCCAAAATACAATGTGTCAAACCTGAATCAGGATATAGTTTTTGTTCTATCTCAATGCTGCTTCTGGAAAGCAGAAGCACAAACATAATGTGAAAATTTGGCATAGGAAGCAGAAGCTATTTTAACACATGACACAAACCACAGTAGATAAACAGCTTGTTGTTATGTGCCATCAAGTTGCATCTAACCCATGGCAACTCTATGAATGAGAACTTCAATATGCCTTGTCCTCAACAGCCTTGCTCACTTCCTGTAAGTGCAAGTCTATAGCTTCTTTTACGGAGTTAATCCATCTTGTATTTGGTGTTCCTTTTTTCCTGCTGCCTTCAGCCTTTCCCAGCGTTATTATCTATTCCAGAGAAACTGCGTATTTCTTGACTTCTCATGATGTGCGTAAGGTTATGTTAGGACAGCCTCAGTTTTGTCATTTTTGCCTCCAGAGGTAGTTCAGACTCAATTTGCTACGTGACCCACCTGTTCAACTCTCTGGCAGTTCAGGGTAACATACAAAGCTCTCTTCCAGCATGATATTTCAAATGAAGAATTTTTTTCCTTTACAGTTTCTTTACTGTACAGCTTCCACATCCCTACACAGTGATCAGGAACTGAATAGTACAGATGATCATAGTGTTGGTCTCCACTGACACATCCTTTCTCTTGATAATTTTTTTTTCCTAATTCCTTCATTGTTGCCCTTCCAGGTCACAGTTCTTCTGATTTCTTGGCTGAAGTCTCCATTTGGATTGATGACTGAACCAAGGTATACAAAATAATTTCATTATTTCAATTTCTTCATTGCCAATATCAGAGTTGTGTAATTCTTCTGTAGTTATGCTTTAGGTCTTCTTGCTATTCAACTGCAGTACTTTCTTCTTTCCCTTTGTATCAGAGGTTCTTTAAAGTCATTGCTGCTTTTTGCCAGTAAATTGGTGTCATCTGAATAGCTTAAATTATTGATGTTTCCTCCATCAATGTTCACTCCTCCCTCTTTTGAATCTAATCTGGCTTTTTGTATGATGTCCTGCATACATATGGAAGAGATAAATGCACCACTGTCTGACACTTTTGCCTATAGGAAACCGTTCTATCTCTCCATATTCTTGTCCACAATACAGGTTACTTATCAGGACAATCAAGTGCTGAGGCACACCAATTTTGTTCAGAACAACTCATAGTTTCTCATGATCCACACAGTCAAAGGCTTTGCTTGGCATCGACTGATCTTCTGAAATTATCTGCTGTGCTCCAGTAGCCAGTGGATATTTGCCATAAGACCTTGAGTGCCTCTTCCTTTTCGGAATCTAGCTTGAGCATCAGACATTTCTTCCTTCATAAAAGGTAAAAGCATTTGTTGCAACACCTTAAGCATCACTTTGCTTGCATGGGAAATTAGAGCAAAAGTCCTATAGTTACTGCACTTCTTGGCATCTCCTCTCTTGGGGACTGGAATATATATTGATCTTTTCCAGTTTGTGGCCCGTTGTTTTATTTTCCATATTTGTTGGCACATTCTTATTACAATTTTGGCAGTTCACTGTGGCTTGAAATAGTTCTATTGGTATCTCTTCAACCCTGGTGATTTCTTTCTTCCCAGTGCTTTCAGAGCACCTTCCACTTCATTTCTACAACTGCATGTTCTTTATCACAGGATTCCTCTTCAAAGAAGCCTGCCATCCCTTTATCTCTTCCATACATGTCTATCATATAATGTTTCCACCTTCTCTTTATTTTCTCCTGGTCCAATAACAAGCTTATCTCTTGGTCATTTAGCATTCCTAATCTAGATTTAAATTTCCCTTTTGATTTTTTTCCTGATCTTCTAGAAGATATCTCGTTTTTCCCTTTTGCTGTTCTCCTCTATTTCTTTTCACTAGTTATTATAATAGATGAACTGAACACATACAGAAAGATTTCTTCATTCTAGGTCAGGAATGGGAAAAACCCTTAGTCCAGTGTGTGATACACTCTCTTCTTTGTGAGTCAGGAACTAAACAGTAGGTCAGTTCTAATGAGAGGAGACTATCTGCTGTTTTGAAAAATACAGATTTTTCTGCTGCAATAAGTGAGTGGGAGCACACCTTGCCAAAGAGAGGAGAAATATTTTGAGGGGTCCAGGAGCAGCAATTATCATTTTTAAACTCTAAACATAAGGGCCAGAGTCACAAAAAGAGGTTTGGGGGCCGCATGATTCTCACCTGTTGATACTTAAAAATGGTGCCAGGCAAGAAACATTCAAAGTATAGCTATTATTGTGTGTTGCATGTACTATTCATCTATTACTTAAAGAATAGTGGAGTGTGTGGTTTTACATATACTCCACAATTTTAACACTGCCAGATTACTTACTACCTAATTGTAACAAATAACAATAAATAACTTTAACTTCTCCCAAAACATCATTGGCTGTTCACGCCTCTCTTTGGAAGAATTGTATAAGAACAGATGTAAGAGGAAGATATCTAACATACTGAAAGACTCCTCTCATCCGGGATATCAGCTCTTTAAACTATTACCATCAGGAAGGAGATTCAGGGTATTGAAAGCAAGGACAAGCAGATTCAAGAACAGTTTTTACCCAAGTGCAATATTGAGTTTAAATGCGGGGCCATAGGTTTTTGGTGGAATTTTAATTGCTGAGAGAAAACGGGGTATCTATATTTGGATGGTGAAAGTTGTGTATATTTTAACTTTTTTTTGTAGTGTTGTCCAGTTTTACCTTGGGGAAGAGCACCACATTTCGTTGCACCCACTTGTGAGCGCAATGACAAATAAATTTCTTATGTCTTATGTCTTATATGCACTGTATATAATTTCTGACAGCACATTAATTTTTCTGAGCATAGGTTCTACAGACCTATTGAGAATCTACTTTACTGACTTTTATTACATGGAGGTAGCATACAGTTTAGTACAGTGGTCGGGGAACAAGAGTAAATTGCCTCAAATGGGGTAAAAGTGAAAATCCTGGGGGTAATTAACAGAGCACTACCCCCCATCCCCCACCCTGCAGCCAAACCTCAAATTGTAAGCCACCTCTCCCTGTTACTTCCTTGGTTGTGGCAGTAAATCCGTTCTTGTAAATCCGTTCTTTCAGAGATCGGACATAAGCCTGCTTGATTGGTTACAGGTGTAGAAGACCCCCGGGCAGTCAATCAATCCGGGGCTTGTGAATGACTGCTTCCACAGGAGATGACTGCAAGCAAGCAGGAGGAGGGAAAGGCTCCAGTTAACGTGGGAAGGAAGGTGTGAGAGACTGATGGCTTCATCAAGCTTGTTTAAATGTATGTAGAAAATGGATGGATGGAGGGGGTGTGTGTGTATGAGAGAGAGAGAGATTGACTCAAAACTATGAAAAAAGGAACAGGCAAGTAAAACAGAAGGCTTGAATTAAGGCAGGGAAAAAAAGTGGCTTCATTGAGCTGGTTTAAATTAATGAGCAGAAATGGACATACTGAACTGAAGTGACTAATTGTTGAAAATTGAGGAAGGATTTGTGTGTGTGTATGTGTGTGTGTGTGTGTGTGAGAGAGAGAGAGAGACTATGAAAAAAAGAACAGGCAAGCAAAACAGAAGGCTTGAATTAAGGCGGGGAAAAGGGTGGCTTTTTAAGATGCTGTCTAGGTTTGTCATCGCTTTCTTCTCAAGAAGCAGGCGTCTTTTAATTTTGTGGCTGCTGTCACCATCTGCAGTGATCATTGAGCCCAAGAAAGTAAAATTTGTCACTGCCTCCATATCTTCCCCTTTTCTTTGTCAGGAGGTGATGGGACCAGTGGCCATGATTCAACCTCATTAAGAGGTTCTTTAATTCCTCATCACTTTCTGCCATGCTTTTGCATAGCCAATGAAACAGAAGTACAGTAGACGTTTTTCTGGAACTCTCTGGCTTTCTCCAGAATCCAGTGCATTTTAGCAATTTGGTCTCTAGTTCCTCTGCCCCTTCGAAATCCAGCTTGCACTTCTGGGAGTTCTCGGTCCACATACTGCTGAAGCATAACCTTGCTAGCATGTGAAATGAGTGCAATTGTACAATAGATGAAGCATTCTTTAGCACTGCCCTTCTTTGGGACTGGGATATGGACTGATCTTTTCCAATCCTCTGGCCACTGCTGAGTTTTCCATTGATGGTGATAAAAAAATAGTGCACTGGTCCTTTGATATTGGGTGGTGGCACCAGGGTGGGTGACATGACCTTTGGTTTGTTCCTTTTTGCACACCACACACAGAATGATTAAAGTTGTAGGAAAAGCACCCCCCAACTCTGCCTTGGCTGTCTCTAGCAAGCACATCAATTGCTAGCACCACTCTGACAGCCATTGATGATGATGAAATCCTCTGTGAGTTAGCAAAAATGTAATGCAACTTGCTAGGCATGTTGGACACCTTACTACTCCCTATACCACCCCATGGCTGGTGCGCAATGTGTTCCAGCAAAAATAGTGCACATCTTTATTAAATTGGGTGCATCCTGCTAGTTCGGTAGATAGCCTGGCAGCCATTGATACTGCTGATATATCCTGCTAGTTTGGTACACAGCCTGTGTAGATTCAATACGATTTTGAATTCAAATAATGTATGATTTCCTTCCTTTCAAATCAAGGGGGTAATGTCGGCGTAGACCATGTTGCAGCATGGCAGATGTGAGGTATCTCAATTCCATGCTGCGAAGTAGTAGATGTTGACAACGCTCTGGTGGAATGTACAGTTAAATGATAAGGAGGTGGTTTGCCTGACAATTCATATGCCGAAGAGATGGTCTGGACAATCCATCTTGAAATGGATTGTGAGGAGACCAGTGCTCCTTTGTGAGGACCATGGAAACACAGGAAAAATCTGTTAGTTTTTCTGAAAGCCTTGGTC